TTGACGAAGCGTAAAATCAAATTTAAGGAAAAAAGCATTTTTGTAATAAAAAATAAATTAATAAGTTAATAGGATTGTTCTTTTATTTATTAATGTTGAGATATTTATTTATTTTTGGTAATATTTATAACTGTATTCATTTTATAAAATCCTTATAACTACATTAATTAAAATGTTATGTTTTAAATACCATAATTTTAATGAATTAAAAAAGTGCCTCTGTAGCACAGGTATACCGTCCCAAACTGTTTGTTCAACATCGGTTGATAATCTAAACATATATGAAAATTGTTTCCGTAACAGTAGTTCAAAAAAGGCTAGAATACCTTGATGTCTTGGCGTAAATCCTTCTGTATCCTCGGCAATATTACGAAGGTGGTACTGTGCACACATTTTCACCTTTAATTGTCTATGTTTAAGATACAGTTTGCAGAACGTATCAAGGTTGTTACATTGTTGGACAGGATTCCACATTACATCACAAAAATTGCACAAAAACACATTCCTAAACTTGGTTTTATTATTTATAAAATTATTACACTTTTTCTTTCGAATCCTCTCTTCTGAGGCATGTGTTTACATAAAACGACATTCTCTACTGCCTTGTGTTTAAAGTATTTTTCTAATTGACGATTACAAAGTTTCATTATTCCGATCAAAAAACTTGTGACATATAAATGCATAGAATAAGTATCGAAATACATTTTTAGTAAAACTGAACACTGACGGGGTCGAAACTAGACCTTAGTGATGAGGAAGCAGTGTGAAAGAAAATAAAGTTTTATTTTCGAATGTGTCCACATTTTGAGAAATAGTTTATTACTCATAAGGCTCTAGGGTTATTATGGAATGGATGAACCACGGAGCTTAAAATGTAGGTGAAAATTATGGAGTCGTACTTAACTCACGCTACCTAACATTATTCGTAAGTCTTAGAGGTGATGTGAACATTTCTGAAATAATTTGCAAAACTATACCGTCAAACAAAAAATGTTTTAAAATGAGACCACAAACACAATGTTTTAATATCCTAAAATATTTTTTATTCCATTTAACTTAAATTATATTTCATTTAGAAGTATTTCTGAGCAGTACGTAGTTAACTCTAAAAATACTATGTCAAAATCTTAATTTTAAACGAAATTATGAATTACAAAATAAAGATTTCTTTTAATATTTTTCCTTAGAGTTAAGTAATGTTCTTTAATCAGATTTTCTTAATTTGATGCACTGGTTTTATCCACTAGAGTTATACTTTCTAATTAAACATATAACTCATTCACTATAAATTCCTTGCACTTATTAACTAACGTTGCTGCATACTCGATATGCTTTACTTTCATCCACACGTATGACAGCTTAAGTGAGTCCTAATAAGGTATCGTGTTGCATGACAATGGTTGAACCGTACGTTTTTTTTTTTTTTCTTATTTTCATCTTGTCTGTTGCTAATTTTATTAATGAACTTTAAAATGATGTGAACATCAACTCGATATTACCCACTTGTATGCGTTCCATTTGACTAATGTTTTTATCGTTAAAGTAATCATTTATAGAAGCAAAATGATCTTTAAGCTCGCTCCATACATGTGCATTTATAATTACACCTCCTATAAGGTGGTGGGGGGAGAGGCACGGGCGGTATAGGAGAGGTGGTGGGGGCGGTGGGTGGTGAGGACTACTCGGGCGGTAACGTCAGGGGAAGGGGGGCTTCCGGATGCTGTGACGTCGGATGGTACTGACGGCTCCCTTTCTTTCCGACCGCGAGTCGAGCTCCGACGTCATCAGGATGGGTCTGAAAGGTGTAGGTGACAAGCTCTACGTACAGCGCGAGAGGAAGATAGAGGAAGATGATCAAGCACGAACGTGTATTTCTTATCAGTGGATGTTTTTTCATTTTCTTCTTCCACTCATTGTTTAGGAGTCTCAGCGTAATCGTTGTTTTTTTTTGTTCTTCTCAAGAGCGGGCGTATCAAGTTGTTGGAGAGAAAATTTCATTGGGAAAAGCGGATCGTAAATCCCGTTTAACTGCGACCAACGTTGGCTTACTCGACGCAGTACCTTGCCAAGTAATGGAGCTATTATTTCTCATCTACACGAATGTGCTAGCCGTGGCCGATGACTTTTCGCTTCTTATTCAGG